ACCAAACAGGCTGAGAAAGGCCAGGAAGCGTTTGGTTCATTGGTTTGCCTTAAGTTACACACGATTGATTAGAGTAGTGATCAAATTACCTCAAACAAAGCTGTTTGATATTTGGAGCACTTTCACAGTATGACTAAATAAGCATTTAGTAGTATATTACGGCTAAAGTTTTCAGATCACAACACTTTCATAGTATGACTGAATAAGCATTTAGTAATATATTATAGCTAAAGTTTACAGATCACAAACTAAACATTCTGATTCTGAAGTAAATTAACCATTAACCCACATTTTAATCAGCAATCGTAGAAAAATAGCAGAAATAAAGTTCACGCTTAAGATGTCGTTTTCCTTCTCCCGCTGACATGTGGGATTGGATGGGCATAAAATGGCAAGAGGGGAAACGTTGTTTGATTTACATGAGCAAAGAAAAGCATCGGATCTTGTTAATGTTATAATAGTATTAAGAAACCATTGTATCAGGAAACTCATTGGCATGTAAAGCCATGGTTTAGAAAAAAAAAAGAGGTACAGAGTGGAGTATTAAAACTCTAAAAAGACTACAGTTTTAGTAATACCATGATATTCGAAATCATAAAGTTTGTTGCATCAAACACTTTATGTTACTGTAAATAAAATCAAAGTATTTTATAAAATTATAGTATTTGTCTAAAACTCTAAAAATACTTTATTATATCTAAATAGGGCCTAGTGGGTTTGTGAAATTTGCCGAAGAGAAAAAGAACAATCACGCCGAAGCAGCGCGCCACCAGCCACAAGCGCTGAAGTAGCAGTTGTACTATCGCCCAGGAGACCAGGAGCCATGGAGGGTGAGGCCTCGTTGAGTTCTACCTCAACTTCCAAAAAAGCGCTGAAGTAGCAGTTGAATCATTAAACTATCGTTTGGTGGGAAACCCAGGAGACCAGGAGATGGCAAAATCCAAATTTCTCCAACTAAACAAGGGCTGACTTGTAAAGTCGTCTTTGCGTATATATTACTATTTGGTTGCCTCACCGGATGTGACGCGAAGCCGGCAAAATCATCAACAGAAAATGAAGCTACAAGCCTACAACGGTGTTGCTTGGTAAGGGCCGAAATAGGTTTCTTGGTCAAGAAGCGAAAGCCGATCTTTTTGCGAGGCTAAGGAAAGGAAATGGCATGCACAAGTACAGAACGTGAGCTCCACTAGTGTGCCAAATCTGAAACGGCTTCTCGTTTAGTTTCTTCCATCGGGCATTTGGGCGTTCCCAGAAGCAATGATGGGCCAAGTGACGGCTTGGAAGATATATATATATATATATATATATATATATATATATATATATATATATATATATATATATATATATATATATATATATATATATATAGAGTATATTCACCAGCTACAAAAATAAGTTGTTCTCTAGCCACCTCCATTTACGATAATTTTATATACTAATTTACGATAATATCAATATATATTTACGATAGTTGGGTTACTATAACACATGGGGATATTTACCATTACGTTATAGTAAACCACTTAGTAAGGAGTTACTATAATCTTGTAAATTAACTTAGTAATTATCGTAACTCAAAATGGCTACAGAATAAGTTATTTTATAGCCAGCTACAGGTAGTAGCTCTCTCTCTCTCTATCTATCTATATATATATATATATATATATTAATAATAATAATTCAAGGGGCACTTATCAGGACTTCACGAGCCTTCATTGGCTATGGATCATCGTATATACATTGCGTAGGGCAAAGCAGTCATTTTACCCTTTCTCGCGTGTGGACCAGCACGCGATATATACAATAGTGTCTTGCCAATGCATTTCCTTTTATTTCCCATATATTGTATTTTGTGGTGTGCCCATGAACTATAGTGCCAACTTGCTTGAATAATTCAGATGCTAACTTGCATGAACACTTCAGAAGAATGGCATCGTGTCGTATAGCGTGTAGCCATGTACAATAGGGATACACGACGGAGGATTGTCGTCGATCAATATCTCAGGTCTCTTTGGCCATTAAAGTTGGAGCTTGGAGAAGCCCGAGTCGAGGAAGGTCTAATATCAGTTCGGTCGACTTCTGGTTCCACCTAAGAAAACTCTGACTTTGGTTTTTTTTATAGTGAAGTTGGAACTATTTTAGAAAACGTTTAGCAAAAACAACTCCATTTATAGCTTGTTATAATTCGTATCAAATTTGTGAGAAGTCAAAAGAAGCCGTGCTTTTTGGCTCCAACTTTAAAAAAAAAATGGCTCAGACTTATAGAGACGTCTTGCGAGAAGCTACTCCTATTTGACAAGGATCCGGAGCTAAGGGTTTCCCAATGCTGCTTTTTTACTTGTATCCTCAAGTGCTATGTAGGATCAGATAAAAAAATAGATACTCTATATTTGTCATAGTGGCCTGCAGAAGCTACATATACTTGGGGGAGAGAGAAGGTGGTTCATACTAAAAAAAAAGAAGAGGAAGAAGAAATAAATGTGAGATATGATAAAAGAAAAAAGTTTCTTTACAAATCTATAGTTTACATTATATAAATAGTAGTCTTAATATTTTTTTATTTATAAATATCATTTTATTTGTACTAGAATTGCTAGGAGTTATACTAGAAGGCACCCTGCAGCAGCAAAGATTCGTGGTCGTAGGCTCTCGTAGCTCGCCGGCGCAGTGGACTGGACGGATCCATGACGAGTTATGACTGCCGCATGCAGCGCCGCTCCACCTTTGTTTCAGCTGTTCAGAATAGGGTGCGCAGGTGGTAGTCGACCTCTAGATCCCACTGTTTCCGTCAGGGAATATCCTGGCCATAATGATTATGATTCGTCCGGAGCATAGCTGGTACTGTGTGGTAGTAGTAGCCTGCTAGTGCTAGGTTATGGGCGCGGATTCGCATGGAACGGCCCGGCCCGGGTGTTGCATGGAGGCGGTGCTCAAAAAAGAATGCACGGCGACGAAGGAAGCAAAGCAGGACACGGTAGTACGCTACGATGTGGGGTTGGCCGGCGCTCAATGCCATTCGCCGGCCGGCCGGCCGGCCGGTGCGGGCGCGCGGGGGAGCTCGCCGCCTCCTCCCACCCGCTACCGTACCACCCTTTCGGGCATTGAGTAGGATGCCTCCAGGCTGCCGGGGATAAGACGTGACCTCTCGTGCACCTCGTTAATTAGATTCCTCCTCGGCGCGCTCGAGAGTCGTCTTTAGTAAAATATTATTAACGGCGCAGCTCAAAAGATTCATTCCACGGCTCGTGTAATTGGTTATTTTTTTACCCACCCGCGCGGCTGCGCCCATGTGATTCGCATGCTGAAGAAACTAAACAAGGCCCGAGAGTCGAGTCAATTATTAACGGCGCATGTTCCACGGCTCGGTTTGGCCCGCGCGGCTGCGCCCATGTTCGCATGCTCCCGTCCACGTTCACGCACTGCACGGGGCTCCGGCTCCCGAGGCGATCGGGGTGGGGGTAGGTGGCAAGGCTGGCTCGCCGCCAACCGCCGGCGTCACCAAGCTGGACTGGGCGTCTCGACCGGGGTGCCGGCCGCCGCATGGTTCGGTTGGGCCGCGAACGTGGGCGTGCGTGCCCGCGCGGGGCGTGGCTGCTTCTGCTTCCTGCTTTGCCTGGGCCCCCGGCCACTCGGGCGTCTCGTGCGCGTGCGTCACCCGCCCAGACCGCACGCAGACCGCGCCCGGCCGGCCGCGTGGCGCGCCGGACGCAGGCGCAGGCCGCGCAGCCCTCCCCCTCGTCCTTTTCCTTCCCGGGCAAGCCGAGGCCGTGACACGGCGACGCGCGGCGCGAGTGCCAGCCTGCCTGGTGTCTGCATGCCGCCCGCCCTGCCTGCGGGGCGGCGTGGGCGCGTGGCCCGTGCCGGCACGGAACGAACCCAACCGATTTGCCTCGCAGCGGAAGTTGCCTTGCGTTGACGGCCCTCGCAGCCGGAGCTGCAATCGAAACGGTCGTCCCCCGTTCGGCGTTCGTGAAAGGTGGCTGCCGTGCGCCCGTGCGTGCATGGCGACACGCCAACGGTCGGCCTCGCGGCTCCTACGTCGTCGGCCGGTCCAGGTCCATGACGCAAGCTCTATACCTCTGTGAGACCAGACTACCACCATGGGATGGGACTATGGGAGAATACGTATACTCCTACAACTACCAGAATAGATGGATACGACCCTACTACTAGTCTACGTACAATACCATCTGTCCATATTCCACAGAATCTTCCGCATGTTCACCCATGCTAATGATTTTCCCGAAAAAAATACACCCATGTTACGATGAGAGTTCTCCTCCGATCGAACAACCTCTCCCTCCGTCCAAAAACAATGAAATGAAAAGTCTTCTTCTTACTTCTAAGGACTCAAACAATTCCAAGTTCAAGCAATTATATAAAACAACTACTAATGTTTATGATGCATTATTATGAATACTATTATTAGATTAATAATGAAATACAATTTTTAACCCATCACAACTAATAAATAAAGAGAGAATAGATTAAGCCACACCTCTTCTGTCCTAGTAGTAGTGTAGGGTATAAAGACCAGCATCATATAGTCGTCGGGTACCATAAAACTATACTCCTATTATGTACCCAGGGTATTTATTGTCTGACAGCCCATGTTAACGATGACAGCATTGAAGCTCTTATCCGATCATCAGCCTAGTGCCGAATTCTTTTTGGTCCGGAGAACGAAGGCATCGACGACGCTGCTTCCTTCCTCCCTCCTCCGTCCGCCCTTCGATCAGGATCCAGGACTCCATCCACAGCAAAAAAGATTAGGACTTTAATATTCGCTAACAAAAAAAGATTACAACTTTGATGTCCCCAGCGGCCAAACCGACCCAAACTCTCCGTTCCGTGCTTATAAATCGAACGGCGCGCCGAGCCCCGAAGAGCCCAACACCAAAAAAACCAAAATCCAAAAGAAAGGAACAGGAAAAAAAAAAGCGTAGGGATACAGAAAGAAAGGGACGCTCGTCTCGTCACGTCCGCCACCGCCCGCTATGGCTGCACTGGGCCGGGGCCTCGGCCTCCTCCTCCTCGCCGCCCTTTTCCTCGCCGTCGCCGGTGCCGCCTCTGCGGCGCCCGGCGGCATGTCCATCATCTCCTACAACGAGGAGCACGGCGCGCGGGGGCTGGAGCGGACGGAGGCGGAGGTCCGGGCGCTCTACGAGCTCTGGCTCGACGAGCACGGCCGCGCCTACAACGCGCTCGGCGAGCACGACCGCCGCTTCCGCGTGTTCTGGGACAACCTCCGCTTCGTCGACGCGCACAACGAGCGCGCCGGGGAGCACGGGTTCCGCCTCGGGATGAACCAGTTCGCCGATCTCACCAACGACGAGTTCCGCGCCGCCTACCTTGGCGCCCGGATCCCCGCCGACCGGAGTGGAACCGCCGTCGGGGAGAGGTACCGCCATGGCGGCGCCGAGGAGCTGCCCGAGAGCGTCGACTGGAGGGAGAAGGGCGCCGTTGCGCCCGTCAAGAACCAGGGGCAATGCGGTGAGGAACTTCGACTCTTTTCTTCGGCTTATTAACTTGTCGAACTGTCGATCAATTCTTACTATCGAACAGAACAGATGCGGTTCCTCAGTTTGTTGACGCTAACTTCGGATCTGAACAGGCCAGTTTTGCATTAGATCTTTTAGGGTTCATATAAATCTGGCCTTTTAACATTTGCAAAGCTCTGCAGATCTATGACCGATGGTTTCGTTAAGTACACAATTTTGCGGAAAAATAGATTTTTTTTCTATCACAACAGTAGGTCTGAAAATCTGCAGTGAAGTTGTTTCTTTTTCGTTGTGATTTAATCAACATCAGTCGTTCGGAATATGAACATTGAAGTAGCTGGTTCACCTTTGCTTGGATTTTTTTTTCGACGGTTAGATGAACCGTACAGAAGGGGCTTGTTTTCGTGGTTCTTTTCTTCTGGACGAAGCAAGGACTATGGGTCGTGCTGTGTGGTAATTAGGACGGAACTAGCCCCACCGTTTATTGGACTTGCCCTGCGTGCTGTGCTTTCCCTATTTTGAGAGTTACAGTTTAGCTATCTTCCAAATTGCTTTTCTGGTGTAAGACTACTCTTTTAGGATTGTTTTTGTTGTCGTCTTTCCATCGAAGATCCTGTTAGTTGTATCTACAGGTCAGATGCTAGAGGACCTTAACCAGACTTTCTTTTTGAAGGTATATTAGTTAAGCAGATTTTGCATCAACCCTATTTTGGGGTTCTTTGCGCTGTCACATGAGCATGTTCTGTTGGTAGTACTGTACTTGAGAAGTCTGTTCTTTGTATTATTATCGAACCTGTGGTTCTTGTATTCTAGCCTGCTGAGACCACCTATGATATTGTCTCTTGCAATAATCAAAACAACTATGGTTGCTTGCCCACAGGGATTAAAAAAGGCAAACACTGTAACGCAAATTATTCGATTAAATATCACAGTTTATCTATGTTATCCTGGTAGCGATCATGTGGGATCAGGCTGCATGCTCTTCATATGTATAAAGTCAGTACTATCAGCTTATGCAGTCTGGGAAGGAGACTATTTCTTATTGTCGAATTATGGTGTGCAGGAAGTTGCTGGGCTTTCTCTGCAGTAAGCTCAGTAGAGAGCATTAACAAAATTGTTACTGGTGAGATGGTGACGTTGTCCGAGCAGGAGCTTGTAGATTGCTCTACTGATGGAGGAAACAGTGGCTGCAATGGTGGGCTTATGGATGCCGCCTTTGACTTCATCACAAAGAACGGAGGCATTGATACTGAAGATGATTACCCTTACAAAGCTGTGGATGGAAAGTGCGACATCAACAGGGTACATTGTCTAGCCCCCTTTGTATGGTTCTCTACGATGTGGTTGCTGGTAAACTCACGTTCATATTTATGCATTGGTCGCTGCAGAAAAATGCCAAGGTTGTGAGCATTGATGGCTTTGAAGATGTGCCTGAAAATGATGAGAAATCATTACAGAAGGCAGTTGCTCACCAGCCAGTTAGCGTTGCCATTGAGGCTGGTGGCCGGGAGTTCCAGCTTTACAAATCGGTAAATAAACTTGCTGTAGTTAGCAGCCTATGTTATGGCCCAGCAAAGTTTGGCTGCTGTTCTTAACTTGTCTTTGATTTCTATTAGGGTGTTTTCAGCGGAAGTTGCACCACAAACCTTGACCATGGTGTCGTCGCCGTCGGTTATGGCACTGAGAATGGCAGGGACTACTGGATTGTCCGCAACTCATGGGGTCCAAAGTGGGGTGAGGCTGGTTATATCCGTATGGAGCGGAACATCAATGCCACCACTGGGAAGTGTGGAATTGCTATGATGGCATCCTACCCTACTAAGAAGGGCGCAAACCCTCCCAAGCCATCTCCAACCCCTCCAACACCGCCTCCCCCAGTTGCCCCTGACCATGTCTGCGATGAGAACTTCGTCTGCTCAGCAGGCAGCACCTGCTGCTGTGCATTTGGCTTCAGGAACATCTGCTTGGTCTGGGGTTGCTGTCCGATTGAAGGTGCCACCTGCTGCAAGGATCACGCTAGCTGCTGCCCGCCGGACTACCCTGTCTGCAACATTAGGGCTGGAACTTGCTCAGTGGTAAACTCTTTGCTCCTTGCTTAATGTTTCACGGCGACACTGATATCTACAGCCTTCTTTTTAGGTTGCACTTATATTTATGGCCTTCTTTAGGTTGCACTCTTCCGATGCTGGGCTAACTATCCTGCTGTGCTGGGCTAACTATCCTGCTGTGCTGAGCTAACTACACTTGGGGTTATATCATGAGATTTGACCATACTAGTATACTAACAGCATGCATGAACTAAACCGAAAGAGATATCTTTTCAGTACATACACTTAGGTCTTGTTTGGATGCGCATGTATTCACTTAAATCCACATGTGTTGAAGTGGATTGGAGTGGAATTAAACTAAGTTTCATTCCAATCCACTCCAACCCATATGTATTGAAGTGGATACACATGCATCCAAACAAGGCCTTAGGGTTTTACAGTGTTATTTGTTTTTATCATGATTTAAACATAATAGCAGGCAGTTAACTATCCCTTTGTTTAAATTGAGAAGAGCAATAGCCCAGTGTTGTTTGTGTTAATCCTGATTTAACCATAAAGTAGCAGGCAGTTACATATTAAACTATCTCTTTGTTTAAACTAAGCAGAGCAAGAACAGCCCACTGAGTGTGAAGGCCTTGAAGCGCACCCTCGCCAAGCTGAACACCGCATGAGCTCGTCCAGACATCAGGATCATCGATTTGGGGAGGGATGGGACCGCCCGGAGCTTTTCTTACTCTGCGTCCAGTTCTTGTCCAAAATTCGATCAAGACAAGCTTTCAGATTATATTGTATCTAAGCTTTACTTATCGTCCCATGAATCCGCTGTAAATAACTAGCTATGATCACCTCTGATTAAAGGATATTTGTCATGGATGGAGTTCCATAATTTCAAGTTTCAATCTCTACTAAATAGATGTCATATTGGAATTTATTTTGACGTTTAGGGTATTTGTCATGGATGGAGTTCCATAATTTCAAGTTTCAATCTCTACTAAGTAGGTGTCGTATAGGAATTTATTTTGACGTGAGTTCCATAATTTCAAGTCTAAATCTCTACTAGACGTTTCATATTGGAATTTGTTATGACGTTTATAGGTGCTGTGAAACGAGTGATCTCATCCATCAAGCACATGATTAGTTGATAGGATTACACAGTTAATTTTAGTTTCAAATGGCATGTCTTTTGAGAACAGTCGTGTCCTTTCGTGACATCTTCCACTTATATAAATATATTTTCGAGATCAATGAAAGCGAGAGTTCTCCCGAATCTTATTCGTTTCCGTTCACGCTTTAACACGTTATGCTATGCTGGATCTCTACGTGAAACCATATGCTACAAGCTCTTATTGTTCACCACCTTTCTTCTGAAAAGAAACTCTGTGAAGGAAGATATTATTGTGGTAATACTTCTCATCATTGAACAAGAGCAATCTCCTTAATTACCACCTTTTAGTTTGACCAAATTTGAGTATGAAAACACTCTGCCTAGAACTTTTGGTCTGGATCTAGTAAGGTAAAAAAGCAATCTTTGAGGAGTATATGCCGCGACAATTTGTAATCTTTAAATGATTGATTCGGTTCTTAAAATCACCTACAATTATTTATGAAGATAATTTCGCTTATGTTACATAGATGCAAACATGTTACATAGAGAGTAATGTCGTTAAGGGCATTGCCCCTAAGCTATTTTATCCCCATTAGTTACAAGAAAGCGGGGAAATAAATATCTTACAAATTACCGCATGCGATAATCTCGCTGAACTATTTACTGAGTCCTTGCCAACTTCTATGTTTCAAAACCTTCTACATAAGATTAGTATGCGACGACTTTAAAATTTGCAAGAATCAAGGGGAGACATCTCCTAGATGCTGACCTGTACCAGTATTATATTATACTTTTTTCTTTCACAAGTTTTACTCATAAGGTTTCTTGTTAAAGTTTTTAATGAGGTAATGGTCCTGTTCGCTGATCTGAAACTTGACTAAAACTGATTGGTTTTGTGAGAGAGAAACACTGTAGCGGCTGGTTGATGAACGATGTCTTGTGAGGGGAGTCAGCCGGCTGGTCTGGACCATCCAGACCAGCGAACGCGCCTAATATTAACATAAGCATGTGTCATATTTTCTATTTTTCCCATCAGGATTTTTTTGTGGGAAATATCAAAGACACATATTACCCTCACAACTCATTCATGGGTTTTCTCTGAAAAGGTTTTTCATGTGAGTTATCAAGAGGCAATACCAATAATATATCGTCATATTTTCTCCTAATTTTTCCACTGAATTTTTATAGGAGTTTTAGCGACATATCACTTTATATTGCTCCTCATATTTTTCCTGAAAGGTTTTTTGGGGGAGTTATCTTTGTCGTATCTCCAATATTTTTCTCCATTGGGGTTTTTAATGGGATACCAATGATATAGTGGTTTATTTAAATCACAAATAAATATGCTATTTTCTCCTTATTTTCCAATAAGGTTTAAAGGAGTTTTTATGGCATATCATATATTCCTCAGATTTTTCCCATAGGGTTTTTCGAGGAATTTCAGCTTACAGCTGCATTGATCTCAAGGAAGATTCGATCCAGGGGGAGTGTTGTGAAACGACACCTATACGCGAACGGACGTCTACAGATGAACAAGCATCTCTTCACGAGTGATCTCATCCATCAAGCATATGATTAGTGGATAGGATTAGACAGTTAATTTTAGTTTCAAATGGTATGTCTTTTGGGAACAGTCGTGTTCCTTCGTGACACTCCTCCACTTGTATAAATATATTTTCGAGATCCATGAAAGCGAGAGTTCTCCTGTTCATTTCCATTCATGCTTTAACAATAGGGTATATAAATATGGGAACTGTTATGGTTAGGTGCCTGTTTTTTGTGTTTCTCTAAGGCAACGAATCACAACCATCAGATCTTAATCGTATGGCTTAAACCTCCGGTCATCTTCTTTACTGTGTGTCATCCTAGGCCCTTTGTTAAGGCCACAAGGTTTTCCCTAAGGCAAACCCCCATCCTGAATTTGAATCTGTCGTCTGGGAAGAACCTGTCCAAGCATTGTAGCATATAGGAAATGTGTATATATAGGAAAATTGAAGCAGAACCGTCACTCGTCGGATGGGATTGAAGGGAAGCTAAATCAGTTGTTTTGTGTCTCGGTTCAGGATTATCTCAGATTTGGAAACATACGAAGAGCAACTTCTCTCATTAGGCGAGCCAAACCAATCCTCTCAATCAGCTTAGGGACAAAAACGGACGAGAAATCTCCTTATCTTCTACAACTAAAAAGAAAAAAAAGTAAGACCACCGTTTCGTGCGACAAGCAATCGCTCTGTCAGTCCGCCCCTTCCCTGCGATACCGCGCGTCGTGTAAAAGGAAACGAGCGATCCGCCCCTTCCCTGCGATACTGCGCGTCGTGTAAAAGGAAACCCCCCTCGCACGATTCGCCCCGCCCCGCGCGCTATCTCTCTGTCCCGCGGAACCGCCGTCCGCCCGAGTACGCCGCCCCAGCTCTGCGTGCGTGAAATAGAAGCAAACGGCGGAGGCGGAGCAGCGACCCAGCAGTGGAGGCGGCTCCTCCTCGCCATCGCCCTCGCCGTCCTCGGTGCCTGCCTCAGGGCCGCACGCGCTCCGCTCGCTCGGCGTAGCGCGCGCCAAGCCGGCCGGACGGGGACGTGGCCGTGGACGTCGATGCGTCCAACTTCACCGCCTTCCTCCAGGCCTCATCAGAGTCGCTCGCGGTCGTCGAGTTCTTTGCCATTGGTTGGCCCCTTGTATCTGACTTGATTGATTCGTTTTTATTTTTGTCCTTTTGGTTTCCGTTGATTCAATGCGGCTAGCCACCCTCCAATCCCCTCGGCACGGCGCACCTGGCCTCCGCCGCGACCTAGCACGCGGCCAACGGCTAGCGGCGGCCGACGAGGCACGGTTCAACGGCGAGCAGCGGCTGACGAGGCACGGATCCTCGCAGTGGCCAACAACGAGCAGCGGCTGACGAGGCGTTCAAGGTATCTTCCATCTCTTCTCACCCTTCCTTCGTCTCTTCTCTTTTGTGAAGAAGAATCATCCGAATTGCTTGATAAGAATCAACGTGATGGATCAATATTGAACAAATGGTGATTCACTGGCCACGACCATTCCATGCCCACCAGGTGTTTGTTTCTATGCCAACGTGGTGAAACCATCCGTGGATGCGTGCATGGTTCTGCCAAACGTGGTGATTTTTCTATCCACGTTATAGGATGCATGAATGGAATCTGACCCCTAGTGATTGTTTTACTTTTTCCTTCCTTCAATGGGTGATAGATTAATCATGCTCTGTTTTATTAATCATGCTCGTGTGTTCGAGAAAAAAAAATATCCATGACTGCGCTACATTTGTCATCAGTTAGAAATCACTACATTATGCAATGCATTGGTCCACTTAGCATTACCATGCTCCTTTTAGTAGTTAGAAATCAGCAGTGGGTTACAGGTTCAGAGCAGAGCTTAAGCTCAACGCCGACGACTGATGAGTCCATGGAACAACCATTGAGTTATTTTAATTTTGACTACTTTACCGGGGCTCACTCCAGAAGTTGAACCGAATCCTTACATTTTTAATACCCCTGTATTCAAGCAGACTTCCTGTTTTCTATGCCTCTCTTCTACCACATCCATAGTCTTAGCAACTTAGAAACGGAAGCACCATCCGAGAATTATTCCTGCCGACAGTTGCATTTCATTTATTTAAGATTTTCGTGTGCCCTATGCCTGGAGGAAATAACAAACTGTGAGTGGCATGCTAGCTGTTATCTGCGGATGTGCTGTATGCCTGTTGTTTTAGCACAAATGGGTTTGGAAAATTTTACTTTGCTATTACGAAATGACAATTTTCTGTTGCCTTAAAATAAGTTTCTGGATGTGTATCGTTTTTATTGGTACAATTTTGGAAAATAATGGTAAACTCTGTTAGGTCACTGTTTCCAACTGTCATTGTTGCTGCCTTGTGCAGTAAAAGCCCAGTAGGGGATCACCCCTCCTGTTTCCCTCGAAAAAAAATCACTGTCACCCTTAGCAATCAATACGAGGAACTTACTCGCTGAGCCAATATGCATGCTTGTCTTTAGTTATCTTATCTTATTGTGTGTTCAGTTCAAGCTTGCATAGAGTTTAAATTAATTTATTTAGCTGTAGCCTTCGTCAGATTAGTTAACAATATTTTGGTCAAAGAAACAAGATGTTTTTTCAAGTTCAGTTTCCTTTTCAGTTACAAAAGTTTCAGACTTTGCAAGTGACTTTTCCACTTTTAAGTGATCGGCAATCAGTCATACCACTGTTGCTTGCATTTGGATTGATGTTGCCCTTGTGACATATGCAGCTCTAGCGATCACTTATTTTTGTATCATAGCCAACCTGCAGAATGTAGTTGGATTTTTTATAAGGACCATCATTCAACTCTTCTATTTCAGCTAAGCTTAGGAAGCAATCTGGAAAGTCTTGATAAATTGGAAGTTATAGCATCACTAAATCAGTACACCATAGGTGTTGCCTACAGAAAGCAAGGCAAGGCTTTATAATTGAGTTAACTGAAAGTGGTCTGGAAAATTGCCACGGCTGTTACATCTGAACTAAACAAATAGCATATGGTTGACAGTTGAAGTGAGATAAGAGGGAGAATAGCATAT